AGGGGGATTGGAGGGATCACTTCTGAGGTTTATCTTAGAAGGGTACAAGTGAATCTTTCTAAGAGTAGAATGTGAACGTTTTAAAATAATAACTAAGAAAATGACATGAAGGCTATGTTAACCAGTTTGATGGAAGTGTTTCAGATTGTGTGTGAAAACCCCACGCTGTACCCCAGAAGTGCATTAATGTACATAGTTACCATTCAATTAAAAAAAATTAATAAAAAAAGAAAAATTAGCAGGGCATTACCATTCAATTAAAAAAAATTAATAAAAAAAGAAAAATTAGCAGGGCATTGTGGCACACATCTATAGTCCAAGATGGGGACTATAGTCCAAGATTGGGACACAGGAGGATCACTTGACCCAGGAGTTTAAGGTTGCTGCAACCTAGGCTGAGGCTATCGCACTCTAGCCCAGGCAATAGACCAAGACTCTGTCTCAAAAAAAAAAGGTAGTCATTATGAAAGAAAGGGCACATCTGAATTGCTCATGGGCCCAGTTTTTTTAAAAGAAGAAATCCCCCACCTCCTTGGCAATTCAGAGGACAAAGTTCAAAGTGTGTAAACTGCTATACACCTGTCCTAGGAACTGCTGGGAGCTCCCAGGGAAACAACAGCTGAGCACCTTCCCCTTCTCAATTTCTCACCCTTTGGTGGGAGTACTCAGTTCTTACTTCCGGAACAGTGACTTTTTATAGCAGAACATTGATCTTGATCTGACACATGAATGGGTAATATTGTGGTTAAAATTTTCTTTGGACTGTGTCCAGCATTAACGGTCAAAGTCAGTCTCTGTCAGGCGGGTTCACCATTCCTAGACAGAATTCAACTTTCTTTTCTATAACAGTAAAATCAACTATATGCTGATACCATAGAAAGGCAGTGTGGCACCAAGAGGGGATATTAGGTCTCTTCCCAGTGTCCATCAATCTTCCTACTCTATGTAGAAAGAACGTTGTTTGCTTGCTATAAAAATGCATCTGTGTGACAAGTCCCCAGACCTTACTGGTGTCTCTGGCCTCCTTCCACAGAGAAATTCCAGAGGTGGAAGTTTGTCCTACGTAGGAATTGTAGCTTCCTTCCTGTCATTCCCAGTGCTGATCCTGCTGGCCCTGACTTGCCTTGAGAATCAGGGAATAGAAAGACAGTCTATGTCCTCTTGTACTCAGTCTCTTTCTCTTCTGGGTGATTTTAGGCATCACTCAGTTCTGCAGTGATGTGAAGGAAATGCTTGGCTTCAGCCCTGGATGGTTTTGGAGGATCTGCTGGGTGGCCATCAGCCCTCTGTTTCTCCTGGTGAGTTGCCATTTCCCTTCTCCTTCTTGCTCTGGGAAAAGACATTTGTAAAAAGTAAAGTTTATTTAAGTATAACATATACAAAGAAGCATGTAAATTGTAAGTATACCTCTCAAAGAAATTTTATAAATTTTATAAATTGAGTACACCTATATAGCCAAAAACATACCAAGAGAGAAAAACATCGGCTCGGCGCCTGTAGCTCAAGCAGCTAAGGTGCCAGCCACATACACCAGAGCTGGTGGGTTCGAATCCAGCCCAAGCCCGCCAAAACAACAAGTATAACCCCCCCCCAAAAAAGTCAGGCATTGTGGCGAGCGCCTGTAGTCCCAGCTACTTGAGAGGCTGAGGCAAGAGGATCGCTTAAGCCCAAGAATTTGAGGTTGCTATGAGCTGTGATGCCACAGCACTCTACCCAGGGCAACAGCTTGAGACTCTGTTAAAAAAAAAAAAGAGAGAGAGAGAGAGAGAGAAACATGACCAGCATTTCAGCAGCTCTTCTCATACCCTCTCCCTGTCTCCCTCGCAAGATGGTTCCCCACTCTTCTGAATTCTAAAATCATAGAGCAGTTTGGCCTTCAGTCACTTTAGCACACCAATCTCCTGCTCAAAAACAATTATAAATAATATTCATTAATTTTTTATTTAAATTTTTTTACTTAAAATTTGGAATGCTTCACAAATTTGCATGTCCTCCTGGCACAGGGGCCATGCTAATCTTGTTATACTAAGTTAGTTATACTAACTTCCAACGTTAGTATAGGTGCTGCCGAATCGGGCATGATAAGTAACATTCATTGAGCACTAAGTGCCCAGCCAAACTGTGTGTTAAACTTACACCCGTTGCTCTTTCATTTAGTTATTATTATTATTATCATTTTGAGCCAGAATCTCACTTTGTCACCCTTGGTAGAGTGCTGTGGCATTATAGTTCACAGCAACCTTAAACTCTTGGGCTTAAGCAATTCTCTTGTCTCAGCCTCCCAAGTAGCTGGGACTATTAGGTGCCCACTACAATGCCCAGGTAGTTTTAGAGATGAGGTCTTGCTATGGCTCAGGCTGGTCTCGAACCTTTGAGCTTAGGCAGTCTATCTGCCTCAGCCTCCCAGAGTGCTAGGATTATAGGCATGAACCACCACACCCAGCCCCCCATTGCACTTTTAATCCTTATAGTAGTTAGTAATTGTATGAAGTAGTTATAGTTTTGATACTCCCATTTTACATTTAAGGAAATCAAGGCTTAACAACGTTAAGAGTCCAAAGTCACATAACGAGTAAGAACTGTTCAAGAATAGGGAAGGATTTACTGTGTTGCTCATGAAGGCCCTGGGAGGGAGTCCTAGTAATTTTGCGTTTATAACTTTACATGCATTTATACATTTTCTTTTCTTTCTTCTTCTTCTTCTTTTTTTTTTTTTGAGATAGAGTCTCTCACTATATTGCCCTGGATAGAGTGCTATGGCGTTACAGCTCACAGCAACCTCAAACTCTTGGGCTTAAGTGATTCTCTTGCCTTAGCCTTCCAAGTAGCTGGGACTATAGGCGCCTGCCACAATGCCCGGCTACTTTTTGTTGCAGTTGTCATTGTTCAGCTGGCCCGGCTGGGTTCGAACCCTCCAGCCTCGGTGTATGTGACTGGTACCATAACCAGTGTGCTATGGGTGCCAAGCCTACATGTATTTTCTTAAAGAGGCCGTACATAAAGGTCTTCATGCATAGATCTAAGTCCAAAGTAGAATCCAGGCTGGGCCTGATGGCTCACACCTATAATCTTCTTAGCATGCTGAGAGGCCAAGGCTAGAAGATTGCTTAAGCTCAGGAGTTTGAGACCAGCTGAGCAAGAGATCCTATCTTTACTAAAAATAGAAAAGTTAATGGGGCATTGTGGTGGGTGCCAGTAGTCCCAGCTACTTGGAGGCTGAGGCAGGAAGAATACTTGAGCTCGGGAGTTTGAGACTGCAGTGAGCTATGATCATACACTGCATTCTACCCAGGGGTAGCAGAGCGAGACTCTGCCTCAAGGAAAAAAAAAGTAGAATCCGTTTATTTCCAAAGGAGGTGGGTAGGAAAGCTAAGCCCGTCGAGAGGTATTCAGTGTTTCTTTTGTCCTTGCTTCATGGGCTCTTGCTTCCTTCCTTGTGTCCACCTGAAGGGAGATGTTTGCTCGAGGTGGGTGCTGCACACACCCCTCCAACCTGTGCATTCTGAGGTAGCCTAGGGTAAACCCATTCCATGCACAGCAGCAGGGATTACTCTTCAGTTCTTTAGTTTATCTGTAACTTTATTTGGGGGAGCTTTTTGATCTCTTAGAACCAGAAAGATAGTCCAGGTGCTCAAGCCTGCAATCTCACCATTCTGGGAGGTTAGGTGGGTGGATTACCTGAGTTCACAGGTTCGAGACCAGCCTTAGCAAGAGCAAGACCCCCTTCTTAAAATAGCCAGGCTTTGTAAC